GTCGTAGCTCAATATAAAGAGCAGTTGAAGGACCTCATGGATGATGTAGATAAAGAAGTAATCAACTGTGACCAGCTCTGCCGGTATTATGCCCTGGGTAGATCATCAACAGCAATGAGGTGATGGCTCGAGAAGACTGTACAAGACTGTTGAAGACTCTATGGCAGCCAATAGCACACCGATTAGATGCTTATGATGAGGTCGAAGGTAGAGAGATGATTGGGGAGAAGGATGGGCAGGGCGGGGTTCTGTCAGCGTACAGTCTGGACGAGGGTATCGCCGAATTTACGAAGGACCTTTCCAAGTTGCGAGAGGCTTATCAGAAGGATGCCCGAGGTGAGAGTGAGGGGCAGAAGGCTGTGTAGGGGTGCCCAGGCCCTACCACTGTGGTGATGGAGACCTATACGAAATGGATGACGCCGAAGCAGGAGAAGGGACTTCTGGAACTTACGCGCAGACAACAGGAGGCGGCTGCTCAGCGAGCGGTAGTGTGGACTATCCTAACTCGATTGATCAAGTCCTTTGAAGGTGATGATGGAGCGAGAACGAGCTATGGAAAGGGAGCGTGAGCGGTCTGAGAAGGAGTTGGAGGAGAGGAGGGCCAGAGAGCAGCACGAACGGGAGGTGGGGTCCTTGTGGAAGGGATCATCAAGTACGACCATGGTCAGAGGTATCGTCTGGAGCGTACTGAAAAGATGAAGCAGGAGGTGAAGGAACTAGCGCACAACATTGAGGGTATCGACACCCCCTCTCTCGTGGATGAGGAGACCGACGATAGTCAACGACGAATGACGGAGGACATCGAGGTAGGGGGAGGGGCAGTGGACTGTGTGGTGATCGGGCTTGGAGTTCAGACGGAGATGGCACAACTCCGAGGGGCGCTGGATGATCGAGACAATAGGAACAGGAGGGCTCCGTCAACGGCAGCATGCTGTAGATGCACTATAATGTAGAACTAGTAATTAGTTGCGACCTTCACCACCAACACTACTGTGCACTAGTACTTGCCATGTTGATACTGCTATGCACTATACGGTTGGGTTGAAAGTCAGTGGGCTGATGTGTTGGGAATCGTAACCGTTGCGAAAGGGAGTTCATTCTACATGCAGCCGATAGACCTAGCCTGATGAATAGGCGCTTTTGGAGTTAAAGACTTCAACAGCCTAGAAGTGATCCTTCTGAAATCCTTCGATGCCGTATAGTAGTCGGCTTAGCTAGTGTATTGAGTCTATGAGAAGAAGGCGAACACCCACCCCTCCTCCTGACGGGGCCCTCGTTAGCACTACGGATGCACATAAGGACCTAATGTCATCCCTGGCCCGTGCGTGGAGGGGACGGGTGTAATTGTCCGCGTCCTCTCTACTAAACAGAAGACAAGTCGGAGTTTCCTGTTGTTTGTCCATTATTAATAACGCAGAAGGGAGAGGAGCACAGCAGCATAGCATGGTTAAACAAGAACAACAACAGGGCATCAGTGATTGTTATATAAATCGTCTACGAGAGTGAAGGGCTTGCAAGGCTGGTGCCAGAATGAACCCATGAAAGGCGTATTTTCGAGGGAATGCTTGTGACTAGCACTCGGATGAGAGCGGTTACCCTAAAGAGGATAAGATGATGTCGTACAAGGATCCAACGCTAGTCATGACCAGCTGTAGATCACTGGATACTCTGCCAGTTCGAATAGACCTCATCGACAACACCAGTCTTCACCAATTCGTTGAAGAGAAACTCGAGTCTTCTGTCGGATATTATGGGTAGACCTCCCTTGCTCCTAGAGGCTCGTTCAGTAATCGGTCGTGGGAAGACGTAGACAAGATTATGAACAGGGCCAACCGCTCCTGCAATGGGGACATCGTCATCAGAGGCGGGGGTTTTGACTTACCTCGGTCCTCGAACCCGGCCTGGGTATAAGCATCATCCTCATCGAAGTCATCCGGAAAATGTCGCGCCCAAACAGCGACTATCCCCGGGTCTTCCTTATGGATCTGTGTATCAGATGAGGCATTGCCGCTGTAGACATCCCTCACGTATTCAACAAGTCGCCTGAGAATCGCGGTTTCCACTCCAACGTTTTTATACTCTTCATGTGCGAACACGTTATTGATGTATACCCAGTCACCATAGTGCTCAGTTTGGACCACCCCGAACTCTGCAGACCCGGCAATAGCCTACCAATGGAGGTCGCAACGTTGGATAGTCACGCCATGTGATCCTCACCTCTTGGGACGGATGAGGGGTGTCTACCGCTACGAAAAGCCCTGAACCTGTGTAGTCCTTCACTGCACGTATTTTGTCCAGAATATGAGCTGGGCGGAACTCGAGAGAGTCAGTCAATGGCCGCTGCTTGATACGTATTTTCCCGTTGACGTTCACCAGCGTGCGGAGCTCCAGACCGATCACTATCGGGTTTACTATACAGAGTAGATATGGGAAGAGTGTAGTGGTCATATTGGACACTACGGAGCTGAAGGAGATCGTTGGATGGAATTGATGATGATGTTGAAGGGCTCGAAGACAGAGACTTCGAACTGTGGAAATGTACTTCCTCGTGCATTGTCTCCAACAGCGTGGCTCCGAAGGGCCTCTTGGAAAAGTTACGACGCCTCTATGCAGGCCCGAAAATGATATTAAATGATCAGCATTGACTTTCGCATGCTACAGAATGCGACCTCCATCGCGGTAGCAACACGACAGTAGCATTGGAAACCGTTACCATCGTCGCGAGACCACGATAGCCAGCTCAAAAGCCGCGATCTCCCTAAACAGCCGTCCTCCCCTACATTGTAGTCTAAAGTACCCACCGTGACTTAGCCGCGTGGAACTTCTTATAAGTGAGGTCCTCCTCCCTCACCGCCTCAAAGACCGAGTCAAAGGAAGGCAGTCCACTGCCATCATCGGCCCCTTCAGGCCTTTTAACGTCCTCTTCCGCCGCCTAACTCAGTCACTGGGTCACTACCTCTTAGCCCTATGGCATTGCCACAGACCTAGTTGAGTTGGAAGTCAGTGGG